AAACGTTTGACGTTCCCTGTGAAAGCAGGAGCGCATTGACGACGAATCGTTCTTTGCCCGTTCATTATATTCCTTTAGTGAAGAAGGAATACCTTGGGGAATCACTATCCTGCGATTCCTACGTCTTCTGGGGCCTCGTGAAGCACCCCAGATGCGAAAATCTAAGAAACATCATGACAAAGGCTTGCGTGTAGGGTATTCTGGTTTGATTGGTAAATGGATTGATAAATACAAATGTAATAAAATAAATATAACATGTGAATGAAAGATGAAAGAAATATTGATTTCGTAAAACGGAAAATGGATAAACCTATGAGGATGCTCCCTCAAAAAAATCTGAATATCTGACAATCAATTTGATAAAATATTTTAAAGCTGATCATTCATTAGATCCTTGATCCAGTAGCCCTGAAAGTTTAATGATTTTATCCCATCTCCTTACTGAGATATCAATCGTCAAACCTTATCCGGTTAAAGCATTTTGCTATCTGGAATCATGCTAGTGTGACTTAGCGACTAAGTCAGCGAGATATCATGGCTAGCCATTACACCAAAGAGCAAAAAAATCGATATTTTTTTAGCAATATCCCCTAAACAGAAAATCTCCCACTCACACCTCAAGAGCCATGAGGACAATTTGGAATCTGCCAAGATGTGTTGCAATCAGCAGATCAGTGCTTGCAAACATTTACCAGAACTTTTGGACCTTCGGATCCGTACTCCATCCAGAGTCGCGCACGCCGACAGTGCGAACCCCAGAAGATATTGAGAGAGAGGCAGCGCAGGTGCACTCTGCGGCCAACCGGGATCTGAGAGGATCGGACTTGAGCTCGGGATATCCCAAGCATCAGCGTGGAGGATATTCAAGAAGGATCTCAAGTTCAAACCCTGTCATTTGAAGCTTCTTCGTTAACTTGATTGAGGATGTTTTTGACCGTCGGGTTGAACTTTCTTTCTTGAACGTGACCAGGCCGATCCCTCGTGGAAAGACAACATTCTTTGTCATGACGAAGCGTCCTTCATCCTGGCTGAAACGGTCAATCGCCACAATTGTGTTCATTGGGACTCACAAAATCCCAATCGATATGTCGAGGCGGACAATTTGGGCGCACGGAAGGTGATGGTTTTGGCAGGGATATCTTCGACCGGAAATGCCGGACCGATCTTCTTTGCTCAGTCGGTGACAGGTGCCACCTGCCTCCGAATGTTGAGTGAAGATGTCCTTCCAGTGATCTCCCGATGGGAGGAATTTGAATGCCTCAGCGTCCAACAAGACGGCGCTCCTCCCCATCACGCTCGAACGATTCGAAATCTTCTGGATGAGACCTTTCCGGAATGGATTGGTCGCACGATGCGACACTGGCAGTGTCAGCTTCCTTTCGTATGGGACATCAGGCAAAGATCTTCATGCGCGCATCCTCTTAATATAGATATACTGGACATCTGGACCAAATATGTAGTTCATGAGAAGGCGGTGCATGAGAACTTCCTCATGCACCGCCTCCTGGACTTCCGCTTCACGTACTCTAGAAATTTACGCCGCACGCAATTTGAATACAGGTAAATATCCCGCCCATACTAAAAGCTAAAATGACTGTGTGATATTTTTGACACTTATGATGTTGAGTTGCCAACTATGTCATGCAAATCAATATTGGGGAATATAGCCATCTCGATTTAGAGTAATATAGATACATCCTTAATTCCATGGCAGCATAGCACTGATAGCAGAGCACTGATAGCAGAGCACTGATAGCAGAGCACTGATAGCACAGCACTGATCTATGCGACACTGGCAGTGTCAGCTTCCTTTCAAGAGTCCAGAGAGTTAGTGATATCAAGAGGCCATTTCGCCCATTTCGATATCACGTGTCGAGGTCGAGCGTTCCTTAATTTTAGGGTAAGCCTAGCCCTCTTGAAGCTAAATATTTTTGTACTTTTGTTTTGTTTTTGTTTGTTTTTTTTGTTGACTATCCTAGTTGCTTACTGTCTAGTACCTAACGTCAACATTGCCCCCCACCTTTTTGCCCGTTCACGAAGCATCTACTTTCTTCTTGAAGATAGTCACACTGGGTCAGCCACTTCCTCGTCATCTTACGCATTCCACACGTTCGCCACTCTGCAAGTAAAAATTCCTGTCTCGACCTGAGCCGCACCTGCGGTTTGCGCAACTTAAGTCGGTTACCTCTCGTTCTCTTGCTGTCATCAAACTGGAAAAACCTACCACACTCGACATCATCTATTCCTTTAATTATCTCGAAAGCCTGGATGAGATCGCCCCTCCTTAACCTTCGTTCGAGCGAGTACAGTCTCAACACTTCTAAACGCTTCTCGTATGATCGTCCCCTAAGCTCCTTAATCATTCTTGTGGCCCTCCTCTGAACTCCCTCGAGCGCCAACAAATCGCCCTTATTTGTGGACCTCCAAAACTGGATGCAATATTCCAGCTGGGGTCTCATCAGCGCCGCATACAACGGAAGAATAACGCGAGATGTCCTACTCGCAACCGACCGACGAATGTAACCTAGAATCCTGTTGCATTTGGCCACCGTCGCTTGCGCGTGCGAGGAAAACTTGAGGTCCTCATCGATAGAAACTCCTTAATCTTTCTTTCCGNTAGATGGGAGGGCAAGGGATCACACGCAAGGGACAGCCACCATGAGCAGCTTTAGACCGCCGCGTACTGGCGTGCAGGAAAGGCAGGGAAGAGTAAAGTGTTTCTACGCGAATGCACGCAGCTTACGTAATAAAATAGACGAGCTCAGGGGGCGGGCACTGGACAAAGGTTTCGATGTCATCGGAATAACCGAGACTTGGGGTGGTTCTCACATTTCGGATAAGGAATTCGAGATCGAAGGGTACGACATCTTGCGGAAGGATAGGCTCGGCAGAAAGGGGGAGGAGTCGTGTTGTACGCTAAAACTGACTAAATCTTTCTCTCCGTTTGCCTCACCCAGTTTAACCTCGCCGAAAGTGTCGAGAGACCTACCGTTGTTTCGACCGACGTGGAGAACTTTACTCTTACTTTTATTAAACCTCATGAGCCACTTGCTCCACTCATCCAAAAGACAAATCTCTTTCGGCTCGAGCCCTATCCGCCTCCCCCCTCATGGTAAAACCTATCTTGGTGTCGTCGGCAAATCTACTCATCTTTCCCGCTACGCCGAGATCCAAATCGTTTATGTAGACCAAAAACAGAAGCGGTTGGAGGACCTCGCCTCGAGGGACACCGCTTGCTCGTCCGACCTCCTCCCCCTTTCTGCCGAGCCTAAAAAATTAGAATTGATCATATTTACCTCGAATGACCTTATATCAGATTACATTTCGGCAGAGATTCAGAGGCATAACCTGAATTCCCACCATGAAGGTTCTGCATTTGCATAAATGCCAGCCACTTATAGTTGGGGTAATGTTATCCCGACCCTCAAAAGGGGCCTCTTACTTGATCGGCTAGGTTTCATATTATGGTTACCTCATATAGGCGAGATCAATCTTAAGGCTCCCAATATTCACGTTTCACTTTCGCGTCCCAAAGGGATCTTCTCCGGACGTCTATCGGAAACAGAAACACACGAAAACCTTGCTCAGACCCGTTTGAGCGTATCACGTCCGCATAGCACGGCATTATTGATCTACAATCAACGCGGAAGGCCAAACTTCAAACAATTGGTTTCAACTGCATTTTTTTTACTTTTGGTATTTAAATAATGTTCCAGACAAACATCATTCCCATAAAAAACGGCAAGTTGAATGCAGAGCATCGAAGCAATTAATAAGGGAAAAAATTATTTGATATTATCAGTTTATTCATCCAAATAAAACAGCTCCGTCAAAGGTGTAAAATTATGGCAAGAGCGCAGTAATTTTGAAAAAATAAATTTCGTTTCTTGATTCTACCGCATTTCCTTGTATCACAAGGGATAAACTCTTGGATTATCCCTTGCAACACTCACAAAAAGAATTTCAGAGTGAAACCGGAAATTTACAGATGAACTCAATTGCGCAAATGCAACAGGCACGAAATTTAAGGTTCATTATCAGACTATTATTTACCCTTAAATCATATCCACGAAAGAAATTATACTAGCATAAGTAATGTGATTATGTATATGGACTACGGAGAAAAAAAAATACATTAAAAAATTTTATTTTGTGCACAAATATTGCACTCATCAGCTGAAGTGCAAAAAATTTTCACCTGAAGCTAGCAGGGAATGCAACTCAATAACGATTCCAGGAAAAGTTACAACAATGCACAAACCGAAATGAAGCAACAAAAAAAAACTTATGACTTACTACATACTCCTTAAAGTACGGACAGATATCAGATGGAAAAAAGGTGGGCAAAATAAGCTGTGACTTAATATTCTCTTCCCACTATGCAAGAGAAAGTGCATTTTGAGTGCACAAATTCAGCTGAGTAAACGAAGCCAAAACTTGTCAAAAATAGAGTTTATTGGGAAAGTCATTGTACTGTTATCTGGTCCAAAGCAAATGGAGTAACATCTGATAAACATAATAAATAAATGATTTGATTAAAGAAGAAACAGGACAACAATCAAAGAGCCTCATATTATGATCACAATAAACCATGGAATGCAAACATTTTTGCAAATACACTATTAAAAATTTATTTCATACAGAACTAAACCAGACTAGGTTTTCCCATCGATCTTCATGCACATATGCAGCTACAAAAAAGAGAGACACCTTGACTCAATCTCCAACTCCATTTTTAGTGCATCTTGAAAGCATGCGAATCTCTCCAGGAAAAAACTTAATCACCAACTTGCTTTGCAAACCACCAGTGTGATGTGCATAGAGACAAGGGAAGAATTGAAACAATAAAAAGTAATGAAACAACAGAAAAATAAGAATGGAATAATTAATACCCAGCTGCACTCTCATTGATGGAAACACATCTGACCTAAGAGAAACATATAGGAGTATCAAATAAACACAGAAATACTGCATGCCATCTCCAAAGGCACCATGTTTTTCCTTCTTTTGAATATAATGATAGAAACAAGTCTATATGCTGTCTTTGTACTGAAGAGGAACCTCAGCTTGAGATATTAAAGTGTCTTACTCGTAGGAAATAATACGTTTTCTTGGTTCTGCCACCTTTATGAGAATTATTAACTTCACAAATTCATCATACAATACCAGTCATCATTACCATGTCGTCAAATACTGAAAACAATAAAATAAAGACAGAATGGTATGAGATAAACAAGAGACAACCTCTGATAGATGCCAGAAATGATGCAATTATGTCAGGCAACATATGCAATGAATGGATCAAGCATCTACACCGGATCCAGTAGCCGAGTGGATGGTGTCCTCGCCCAAAGTGTTGACAGAGTCCAGTGGAGCAAAGTGGAAACCTCCATCTTTTTGATCAAGTCCCCAAAGCACTCTGAAAGAATGACAGAATTTTGTCAGATGGGTATGAGTACATACCTTAATATTAAACTATTTAAAGACTGAACTCAATGAAATAGAATAATTTCACTCATTTAAAAATGAAGGGGAGCTGTTGCCTGATTGTACTGTGACTGACTCACAGGAACATGATAAGTGGGAGGATGGTGATAGCAGCACACAAGAAATAGGAGGCACCAGGAATTGTGGCAACAGTGGCAGAGTAGAGCTGAGTGTAGATGGCACTGGCAAACAAAGGGATAGCAGCTTCACAGGAGGCTAAGACTGAATAGATCTTCACTGGAGAGGCATATACCAAGACAGGAAAGAAGATTAGGCTATTTTAAAAATGTACTAAAAGTCTTACTTTCATGCATCATGAATACTTATGAATGTCTTATGAATGAAAGGACTCCATGCAAGAAGGCCCAAGTTATATTTTGATCAAAATTTAATCATTGCTGAAGGTCATCTGCAAAATTGGTCAACCAGAGTCATCAAAGAAAAAATATTCTGTTGGAACAAACTAATTGCCTGAGGAACCCTACAGCAACCTTTCTGCAAGTGTAAGTCTGCATGGATTGCAATCAGCTGTCTGTCAAAATTTAAGTTTAAATTCAGCAAAACAGTCACATACACATATTAGTGAAGTATTGACAACCTCAACTTAATTCAGGATCTGATTCATTTCATATTTTACTGGAGGACCTTCACATACACCAACTTCATTAAGACAAGCCTCTCATATAAAGAAAAACTTGGAGAATAACATCATCTAGGGCCTTTCACCAATAATGATTTGAACATTGCAACATGCATTCTTGCATCATGCATTTCTTCAAATATGAAAGCATAACTTGCCCAATTCATCATTCGGGACTACCTTGGACAACATACTCCGAATAGAGATGGTTCCAATCCCTCGCAGGCATCCCAAACCGGTCCCTGATGTGCAAAGAAAGTAGGGAACACTCATGCAATTGATAATAGTGCTCAATCTGCCATAATGTTGATATATTATAAAACTACTTCGGTTTTTAGCTGCCAGACATCATGATGACAGCAAACATACCATAGTACATGTGCCATGAAGAAACAGCAAATCCAAGTACTAGCATATCTGCACAGTAAGACATGGATGCTAGAATGCCAAGAAGGTAGTCAGGCATTTCCAGCTTGTAACTCAGGATGGGCACAAATATCACAGTCCCTGAGGAAGAAGGACAAAATTCATTCTACAACATAAAAATTAAGAATTGGTTTCATAAAACCTGGATGCAAAGCAGACACCACAATAATGAATACCAACCTGCAACTGCAAAGGCAATGGAGACAGCACCAAAGATAGTATATGTTGGTTCATCCCAGCCAAACTTCATCTTTGTATACAGGTAATCAATACCATTAGTGCCTATATTTTAGAGAGAAACTTCAATTTCATCAGAGCTGTATATATGCTATCACCAAAAATAGCGCATTAAAGTTTCAGCCAAAAACACACCTGAAAAAGGGATGAGCCAAAGGCACATAGTAACCAAGAGGCATAGAATCTCGGTTCTCTGATAACCATCTCTTCTCCTGAGAACAGTTTTCAGGCAGTCCCTAGCATGATGTCCTTGACAGAGTCTTGTGCAAGATGCCTTGAAGGTTTTCCTCTCGGCATTGTGGGGTTCCTTTATGTATATTGTTACATAGATCAGGGCCAAGAAAATTACTGTTGCTCCAGTTCCAAATATTGCAACTGATCCCCAACGCTTATAGATATATCCACTGGCCAACATGCCTAATGGAGCACCCATATACCAAGACGCATCGGTTAAGGCAACATGAGCTGATCGAGTCTCCAGAGGTGTTGTGTCTCCAATGTAACTGAATATGGCCATGAGGAAAGCCACCATTCCACCACTGAGGCCTGATATAGCTGCTGGGATGAGCATAAACCCTGGACCATATGAAGGTACCAATCCAACCAGCAGGTATCCCAACCCAGATAACAAAGCTCCAAGCAGTGGAAAGATGATGGCAGGTTTCCTCCCATATTCATCACTCCATGGTCCAAGGAAAAACGAACTGATAATGGCTGGAAGAGACTCAACTAGAGAGCGGTAGAGGTTGTAGTCAGATGTTTCTTGCTGAACAACAATGCTGTAATTATGATACATTGGAGAGGACAGATTGGTGCATACCTGCTCAGAAAACCGATAGGTCACAGTGCATACTCGCATGAAAATCATATCCTGTATCACGATTGAACTCAGTACCATGGAAAACATGTGAGCAAACATCAAAGGCTCCACACTGATGTGTGACAGGAATGCCTTCAGCTTTCCAATCCAAAGGCACATCTTGGAAAGTGTAACCAAAATTTGGTCCCATACAGGCTCAGATTAGATCCAGCTAATCTTGAAATGGGGGCTGACTAGATGCACTTGAAAAAAAAATTGATTACTTCTTGGCCAATGCATATTCACTCAAGTTCACAGGTGCTCACCAGTGTCAATCTATCCTTTCAGACAACAGCACATCTCTCTGGAAGCAATTTGTTGTCAAGGTATCAGAGGAGCCTCTTCTTACCTGCAATATGATTGTTAAGTAATTCCAATATGGCAAAATATAATAAGTCTGGAAGGCAAATATGGAAAAAAGTGTAATACCATCAAAGGCTACACCAGGATGTGGTGTTGGTGGTTAAAAGTCAGAGAAGGGTTTTTTAAAGAATTCTACTGTGGATAAGGATCTTATTGTAGGGGAGAAGAGTATACCATTCTATAACCATCCAAGGGAAAAAACTGTTTAAACCCCTAAGTGGGGAATTTCTTTGACAAAGGTCTACCACTTGAGTCAGAAATTATTTTTGCAAGAGTGCAATTAGTGTTTGAAAAAAAATTTTTTTTACCTTTTTTCTCTTTTAAAATTCATATCCTATTTCAATATTTGAATTTATTTTTACCTCAAACTATAATGGGAACAAAAAAAATGCCAACTCCCCCAGAAAGCATTTCACCATGACAGATATATATATCATACCCACTCAAGGGGTTAAAAAAAAAAGGAATTCTTGCACAAGTATGATGCAGAGACAAGTTTTCCATGCCCTTCCTTGTCCTGTTATTTTCAGTCATACACCTCACAGCATCAAGTAGTGGTGAGCCATGAATGACTGTGTAAAACAGCAAAGTCTGTCATTTTTACATGCATTAACCTGGATATTAGCCAGTCCAGTGTATGCACATCATCACTGGACTCAATTTCCCAATTTTTGTTCTTGAGCACAAATCATGCAGCTCGCTTTTGAATTTTACCTAGCTCTTCTTTGTCACCCACTTCAAATGAGTCCCACACTTCAGAGCATATTAGTATACTAGTATGTGGACAAGGCACACATGCTACTGCCCTGGCTTCCTTGGGAGTATTACTTTGTGTGCATTTAGGCAAACCTCGGACATCAGCTTTGGCCACAAGGGCACTAATGTGCTCTTCCCAGGCCAAGTTCTTGTCCAGGGAAAGGTTCAAGCAATTTACACTTTCCTCCATTTTTTTAAACAATAAATTTAAAAACTTAACTAAACAACGTGCCTTTCAGGTGTTAAGGTTCACTCGAGGGATGTTGATGCTATGGCCTCTGTAGCAATGGTGACCACATTCAGGCCTATAGGCCTTGGCCTATGCTTATGGTATGAGCTGTTGAACACGATCACGTCCCCCAACTTGCCACAATCTAAGGCTAAACACTAACACAACTTCATCCGGCTCCGCCCCCAAGCATGTGAAGTGCGTGAAAACAAAGAGCAGGTGGAGCAGCCTCCACGTGACTGAGGTGTGTCATAGGCCATCTGCTTCCGTTCATTAGCGACATCTATAGATTCAGAATAGCAAACAAGCATTCCTTCCATTCCACTTGGTGGCGTTCTTTCATCGAAATCACTACAATAGAGAGTTTTAGGAATAATAGTTTCACGTTTGCTTGTTTTGTTTGTTTTTTTGTCACCATAAGAGTAATTTTGGAGCCCTTTTTGGCTTCCTCCTTGGGTTGCATTTCCCTGCATGCGAATACCGAAAATAGAAACTTGGTCTTTTTTTTTAGCAGCAACGGATATTAATCATCAACGCAAAAGGTGTTCAATCCAGTTCTTCACTCGACGTTACCGTCAGATCAGTGTCTCCAGAAATCAGAATTGGCTATTGCGAAGAGAAGTCGAATGACGCACGTTCACCATTTCGAGTCAGCCCAAGAGGGAAGAAAAGAAAGACGAATTCGGGTCTGAACTCCATTCATACCTTATTTCCATTCCATTAACCATTCCCCCCATTTTTTTCCCCGGATCTGTCGGGCACCCTCTACAGCATCTTCTTCCTTTTCATAGGTCAAAAAGGGTGAATCAATGGGCATACTCTGCCCATAGCTTTTTCTCCCGCTTTCGCGATTCACCAGCGGCGAAACGACGCCGACCCCCACAAATTCCGTCATTCGCCACAAGCAGCAGAAAAAAATTAATCTCAGTGCTGCCATAGTTACAATTTCTCCTCGCAAACGTCCGATTGCACTTCTTGCATTCCACTTTCTCTTCGAAAACGAACACGTATGACGAAAATCCTTCTCGTTAAGAAGATCGATTGAACCATCTCAGGTACGAACGAATGTCGATGAAGATTGCAATGAACGACACTGCATCTCGGGCAACCCTGCCGAGCGAACGTGGAGGTTCGGATGGCGCGAGAAGTTGAACGGTGTACTCCGAGCGAGGCTATCGGGTGATTCCTTCGCCGGATTCCGTTGCAAGCGCTGTAGGTATGGTCCGAAGGTTCCACGGAACGATAACGTTTCGAAATGGCTGCGAATGTTCTGGCTTCGATTCGGTTTAGAGGAAGGGAAGGCCGAAACTTTTAGCGATCTGTCCGCAAAGTTTCCCCGTAGAATAGAAATTATGGTTCAAAATTGATAGTAATCATAGGAGTTGAGAACTCTCATTTCCGTCGTTGCTTCCGTTTGTCGTTTTGTTTGTTTGCTTTTTTTTTCATCTAGGGCGGCCTGATTTCATGGTTATCCTCTGGAGGAAACCAAGCTTTCTACGCCGGATTTTCTTTTTGATATCTCTTCATTAAACAAAACTAATAATCAACTTCCTCAAGTTCCTTTTCGGATTTTCATGCATTCATTCAAATTTTCGTATTTTAGGATGAGAAAGTTCCAAAATCTCAGCGAAGAGAGCGTAGGAAGCGGACGGAGCAGGGGTTGAGGGGGAGGGGGAGAGGAGGGCATGGGGGCTGGGGGCAAGGGGGCTGGGGGCAAGGGGGCTGGGGGCAGGGGAGAAGCCCAAGCCACCCAATTTTCCGGGTGCAGAGGCAAAGGATACCTTTCACCCCCACTTTCAAGGAGGTTCCTCAGCCTCCTCCTCGCATGGATCGATGGAACAAACAGGAAAAGTTGTACCTCTCAAAGGACCTGGTATGCGTGAGAGACTTGGAACCATGTGCATCGGCTTGGAAGAGTCTAACGATGCATCGATTCTGGGAGTCAGATCATCTGCTTATTGTACGAGGAAACCTGCACATTTCCCAGACGTAAGTACTTTTCAACATATTCAGTGCCCCAGGGGCCCATAAAAAGGATTAGCATGTGCTCAATACGAGCAAGTGATTTCTAATATTCTTCTGCATTTATTCAACAACCTTTTATTAATTTTCACCGAAAATGACACTGTCAAAACAGGTCGTCCACAGGCACAGTGAGAAAAATTCTTAACTCCTTTCATCCTCTTGAATCAGTGAAGTGTCCAGAAGAAAATATTTTCTTCACCTCACCTCAGCTCGTGACGTCACATCTTTCAGCGCCCGTTGATCGGTAGATTCCATCACGTGACCTGAACTGCCCAATGAAGAAGTCCCGACCCATATTGGCTCAAACCGTCGAGGTAGACGAGTCGACAGGACGTTCTTGATGGTATCGAAGCCAGTTTCTAGTTTTAATCTGCCTCTGTGAGATCGCCGAGGTAAGGAAGAAGTCCTTTCCTCTTCCACGAGGTACAGGAAAAAATTAAGGTTCCAGAGTGAAACATTTATAGAACCACTTTCGTGGAAAATATGAAAATGATTCCTGGAGCTGCCACGATCTCAAGGCTTTGATGAGGCGAAATTAGGTGATGATGATGATGATGAATTAGGTGAAGATGAGGCTACGACCTAGGACGTTCACACGATCACTCCAATCAGTAACTAAGATATGTTGAAAAACTGTTCTACTCTCTAAAATTAAAGGTTTGGATTGGAACCACTTCTGGTGAAGCTTTCATAGAACCATTCACGTGGAAAGAAGCACACGGGAGCTGAAACTGGTTGATTCCTGGATCTACCAAGAATCTCGGGGGCTTTGACACAGCAGATAATCAATGCTACGATCTGGGACTTTCACATGATCCCTCTCACGAGTAACTACTAAGATTGTGAGAAAAAAAAAATGGTTCCAATTACCACAAAACATAAACTCGTGCCGAAGCCCCTTCCTTATTGGTTCCAGAGCTACGGAGCTGTTTTTGCTCGTCGCTATGTCAAATGGTTTTTGAAGTGAGCTTAAAACCATTTCAATGATTTCTCCATCACAGGAAACCGCTCTGAAAGCGTACAGCCATCTTTAGGGTTCGAGTCTAAACCATTATTTTTTTTTTTTTTGCAGTGAAGGCATTCGTCGACCAATATTATAGCTCTACAAGGTTTTTATTTGTCTTTCGGTGTCTTTCAGAACCTTTCAGTTCCACGGAGGGTTTAAGAACGTTCTCCGTTCTCAACGAACGTAGCATCCACACGAATTCTCTCGTCAACGGTGGCCATCGAAGATGGATCGAAGATACAGAAAAGAGAAGCAAAACAATACCATAACTGCTTCGAGCCAATCTCGATCCGACTCTATACCAGTTGTCAGCATCAGTCATCTCTTCTCTGCGATGTGATTTTTTTTTGCACAATTGCCAAGAAGCTCCTGGGAGAGCAAAAAAAGCTTAGAGCCTTTCCAGCAAGTTATGAATCTCCGCATCCGATTCCCCAGGGAACTCGGGCTCGGAATCAGGCAGAATTCGAGAAGGGGTCACTTATGGTCGGAGTGCGAAGGGGGCTCTCCATCTTCTGCAGGAGATTGGAAGGCCGTGTCCCGCTACGATGGATTCCTTCCGCTTCCATTAGCTTGCCCAGCATTCATTCGTTATTGAGCCTTCGTATGACTTCCATTTCTGGTTTTTTTTTTTTTTTTCCTTAGCTCTCACTTTCCTTTTGCGGGGTTTGGGCACGTGGAGGGGGAGGGTGAAGGTGGCTTTGCGGCATGAATATTTACCAGCTTCAACGCTGTCAAGGGTTGTCGTTGACCTGCGGGTCAGCGATTTCTTTAACTCTCTTCGCCGCAAAGCGAATTTTTAATATGCACAAAACGTGTCCACCTCTCATCAAGGGAGTACTGGAAAAACTTTTTAAATAATTGTTTTTTAATTGTGCAGTGAAAAAATCATTTTACTATACCTGCTTCAGGCATGCATAGTCCATAGCTGAGGCACTTTCGGTACCCGATAATATAAGCTGATTTTGATAAGCCTTGATTATGGACTCTTGATGTTTTAATTCTTTTCGCACATGAGTTCAAATGAAAGGAGGTCCCCATTTTAGTGAAAGGATTAAGTCACATAACATAAATGTTCAGTTATACTATACCTCCGCAAAAGAAATCGTTATATGTACGTCTGGGGTACAAAAATTACCCCAGTATCAGAGTTAAACATGCTTGGGGACCTTTAAAAAAAGGGGAGAGGGGGATGTATGTTGAAGCGGAACTGAGTCGTCCACATCCGCAGATCAAGGAAAGAGGGAAACGAACGAAATGGGGGAAAATTCAAGGCCAACGGCAACCTTGTTGACGCCGAGCCCCAAAAAGACAGGAAGGAGAGAAATGAAGCAGAAATGCTAATTGCATCCAACCCACATCGTGGGAAAAGGAGGGAGAGGAAACGGAGGGGAGGAAACACAAAGGGAGGATCTTCTTCCCAGCTGGCCGCGAGTTGTGTTTCGCAGGCGACTGACGAAACTCTCCTCAAACATCGGGGCTTTCTTTCCGCTTTTTTTCGGCGGATGTTCGCTTTCCTCCAGCTGTGACCCCGTTTCTCTTCGGAAGAATTCTCGCTTAGCATGGAAACAAGCAACTTTTTTTTTAAAGGTAGCCCTTCACAAGATGTTTCGCAGTAAATTGTAGTTTTTTTTTGCAGTGCCACAAATGTAGTCCTTGGCATAAAACATAATCGTAAGCTTTGCTTTTTTCTGTTCGTCTGAGTTCCGCACTTTTTCAAACTAATACTTGCGGCTGATGTGCCCCTGTCATTACAGTGTTGGCGTTAATTGTGAGGGCATGGTTGTCTCATAAAAAACCTGTCGAGACAGCTTTCATAAATATTTCGAGCTCCTTTACTTGTCGCCCTTATCGCTGCATCAAAGTTCATAATAAAAAAATTTAAAGAGCGATGAAGAGATACGGAGCACGAGCCAAAGATCCAGCGATAACC